AATAAATGGGAAAAATACCCTTGATTAATACAAAAAAGCGGTGTTTAAATTGGATCTAATGGCGTCAATTAAAACCTTACATTAATTCTTATTTAAAGAACTAATTAATACCTAAGTCCGATTGTACTCTCATTTGAATTAGGAAAACGTAAAATTGCTTTGGATAATTCTTATTCTGGATTTTTTTGCCCTTTAGTAGAGTTCTAACAGTGCATTTTAATTAGCAATAAATGCATTAGGCATAAACAAATATTTTTTACTTGCCGTATAGGATATATTTTAATTAGACCAGTGGTTTCGATTGGGTAAGGAAGACATTTGAGTAAACAGGGTAGGAATATTTAATGGAAAGATGCGTGTTTTCACACACTTATCTCGAGAGTAATTTTAAAAAATAGAGTGGTTGTGCCAAGGTTTCGAGATTGGATTGTGTTATAAAAATTTGTATCTCTGGGGTAAGGGGGGGAATCTCTTTTATTTGATATACAAATATAAGATAGATAAAAATATTTTTTCTTTGGGAATATTTAAGTTATCTAAAATGGGGATGCGCTTGGGAGTTAATGTTATCTGCTTACTATTACTAGTAGTTTTTTGTATACGGCTTTGATATTTGTCTTTTATATCAACTTATTATCTTCTATTCACATAACAGCCCCGAGTGGACCAAGGCCTTCTCAAGAACTTTGTCCCTCTACGATATCCGCTTAGCAACAGTTCACCCTTAAGACTGTAAAATTGCCATCCACACAAACAGCCAATTTCAATTTGGGCCTACCCCTAGTTCTAGTTCCACCCCAGCCCGCAGGTCAGCCAATTGGAGTCAATGTTCACTTTACCAAGCATCTAACCAGACAGCAACCTCTAAGCTCTCAGTCCTGCCAAGAAACCCCGAAAACTTTCCATCCTTACGAAGCACGTTAGCCACGCCTCCCAGATTCCATCGTCCAACCAATCACCGTCATGCCACCAAGCAGAATGAGCAAATCCACTTTCGCCATGCCCCGCAACAAAGTCTTGTCAAGACATGGGATTGAGGACTGTTTTACAGTTCAGATGCTTAAAGGAAAACGCCTATTCAACGCCTATTCAATTCTAGTTCCAATCGATTTTTAATTGAGACTTCTGTACCTCAAGGATGAGGGGCCCATACGGCAGATGTGTCCCGCAAAGCTCAAACGAAAATTCTTGATGGATTTAAATGGCATCTGCTTCTTTAAAAATACAGCAGAACGTCGTTTATCCTAACGTCAAATATCCAGACCGTTTTCTTTTTGTCAACTATATATATTGTATATGAATACGTTTACGAACAGTGCAATGCTGAACAGGTGTTTCGCGTAAGGCCAAAAGTGGCAGAAAAACCCAGGATCAGGGATATTTGCAGAATTTCAGTTGTGTGATTTGATAAACATCTGCGCGGAATATTAGGTCAGTTTGTTTCCAAATGATGGGGTGTATACATCATCTTTTGTTGAGTTGTGAACTGATATGGCTTCGAATTCAAAATGGAAGCGCAACGCCTTGAACCTAGAAACAAAACCTGAAATATTGAACAGTCTCGCGAAGGGAGAAAATGGAGCGTCTCTAGCACAGTTTTATAATGTTGGAAAGTCTACAATTTCTGACATAAAAAAAAAGCCGAGAAACCATTTAAAGTTTTGCTTCAAAACTTGACTCGGAAGACGGCTCGAAGAAAGGGAAAACTATGAGGGAAGCAAACGATGTTGTTCTTCATCGTGAACACTACTTGTGCTTTTCACAAGGAAGGAGCAAAAGAACCCGAAATGCTTCCATCTGTTGTGCGAAAAAGATCTGGAACTTAACGAGAAATTAGGCGGTTCAGCTGATTTCAAAGGTCAAAACAAAAGTGTACAATGGTACAGTGAAAAATAAATGCTTATTTTCCACAATAAAGGTAAAATTGCGACATTTTGCATCTATTTCGTTTTTTCTTCAAGCACGTTTCCCGCATGTGATAATTTTCAATATCCATATAGTGTCCGCTTTCATATACTGCATGGATCGTATTCGGTTTTCGGTTATCCAAACGGTGTGCGGTCCCAATTGATTCGGATGAACGACGTTCTGCTGTAATTCAGAATTATATCTCGTTGTATCTACAATCCATTCTCATTCACAGCACCAAAGATATATTTAAGTACTTTCTGCTTAAAGATGTCTAGCTGTTCTGTCTATGATTTGGTCACAGTTCAAGTTTCAGATCCATCGTTCAGTACGGGTATGATGATTGTTTTATATAGCATAATTTTTAAATATCTTTTAATCACCTTTGATTTTAAGAAATCTCTTATAACAGTTATTCCTAAAGTGGTCTAAGTCCCAAAGTCAAAGTAATTTCCAGGGCTCTATGAGGTCTTGCAAGGGGTCCATGTAAGTGAAAAAAATATTTTGGAGGTCAATGTGATATAATTGGGGGTCTACGATAGTAGCTTTCATTAAACAAGATTGTGACTTTAATTTTAAAGGAAAATTTAATCAAATGGAAACCAGATTTTGCACATTTAACAAATTGTTTCCCTCAATTTAATGAATTTAAATTTTATTAAAACAAGGATCATTTCAGCGTTTCTTGCCAGAATTAAGCTAAATGAGTTATAATATTGGATGTCGTGAATTTTCTCAGTTTCTCAATCGGCCTCGACATTCTGAACGGGGAATGATGTTTTAATATATGTTCAACATTTAAATGCCTATTATTCAGATTTTGAAACGAGGTTTAAGGATTCTTTGACCATGATTATACCAAAATCGATAATTAGTTCAAACGGTCACATTGAAAATACGAACAAATGTCATATTATAAGAGGAACTGATTGGAATAGACACTAAAGGAAATCTTAAGGTAAAGTTTAGCGTATTTTTAAAGCTAGCTAATTACTTCTTTTCATTTTATCAAAATCTGTGTCACATTTATCAAAATATATAAGTTTTGTCTAATTTGTACAACAGTAGAATGTCGTTTATCTGAATCAATTGGGACCGGACACTGTTCGTATACGCGATTGTTCGAATAACCGAAAACCGAATACGCGCGATGCATGCAGTACATGAAACTGGACACTATATGAATATTGAAAATGATACCATGCGGGAAATGGGCTTGAAGAAAAAGCAGAATAGGGGCAAAATGTCGCAATTTTACCTTTATTGTGGAAAATAATCACTTATTTCTCACTGTACCATTGTAAACCGTCGTACTTTTGCTGCAAGGTCTCTGAAAAAGCTGGTGAGGATATTTGACGCTCCGGATAATAAACGTTCGGATAAACGACGTTCTACTGTACTTTCAATATAGAATGTCATGTAAAATTTATCGGTAACATATTGTTTAGTTAAAGTAATAAAGATAATATATTTATAGCTGTGTTTCTGCTCTCTCATAATTCCTTTAAATCTTTTTTAATGAATATTCTCAGGTTTTGTATTAGATCTATTTAACTTTTGAAGTTTTAATACTTTGAACGTTTATTGATTTAAGCATTAATTACCTATTACGTTTATTTTATTTTGTGCAAATAATTAACTTAAACAATTCTAAATGATTAAAACTATTCCTTTTTTTCAAAATTAATATTTCAAAGTTTAACTAAGAAGTTAACTAATTAAACTTTGTTTTTTGTGAAAATATATGAAAAAGAAATATATTGGGATATTACTTTTAAATTAAACATATGCTATATTCATATGGAAAATTGTTTAATTTAAAAAAATTTAGTTTCTAGTATGCTATTTGAGAAATTAATTATCGGTGACACAGAAAATTTAATTTTCAAAGAATAATTTTCATAGCAGAAACTTCGGAATATTTATTTATATCATAAAACTTTAATTAAAAATGAGGTATTTTCTTATAAAAGTATCTCGTTTCTTTTCAAATCATATTTAAAATAAATTCAACTCCTTTGAATAAACTGATATTTGATTCTAAAGCAAATTATTTTAATAGCCTCTAAAAAGAGTTACATACTTTATTTAAAAAATTAAAGTCTTAGAGCATATTCAAAAATTTATTACAATGTTTATAGTTAAAAACATAAATTATTCTAAACTAATTCAGTCTTCACGATAATTTAACTATAAATACATAACAACTGAGCAATAAAAAGCAAATTCAATTAAAACATTTTAATTTAATATAACTGTTTTATCTTAAATAAAGACATTAAAGCTCTCTCTCTTAATTCATTGGTTGAAATCCCGAAAAGATTTAATGGTTATAGTAGAATTAACTAAGAAAGTTTTTTTAAATAATTGTGTTTTCCCATAAATTGCATTTATAGGTAAAGATTTTGGAATAAAAATAAGAAAGAATTTTGATTAATTGAATTTTGGTAGCCTATTTCGAGTAATATTGTTCTAGCATTTCATAAACATTTTTAAAAAGGTTACTAATTAGAATATTTTTATATGCGAACTGAATCTTTGATTACAAAAATTATCACATTTAAATTTTATGAGATCGATTTTTTTGAAGTAGTTTATATTGTACTTGGACATTTAAATTATCAATATTTTTTTTCAATTCCTACAATTAGTTCAAATCCCCCCTGTATATATAAATTGTTCTAATTTTCAATCGTTAGTCAAATTCTTTTTATTCTTCCACTCAAGTTCAAATACATTTTTTTTAAATTTGAAGTGAATGGCACTTGTTGTTAATGCAGTTTTTTCAAATATTAATTCAGTAATTAAATTAAAAAATGTATAAATAGTAACGAACAAAAATAATAGTCCAAACACCATATATAAAAAGGAAAATCGCTTATTGTGTCCTTTTAGCGTAATGAATAGTGCGTTTGACTTCTAATACGAAAGTTGTGGGTTTGAATTTCCCCTGGAATGACCAAATTTTCGAGAAAGTAATTTCTTTTTACTATGCTATTCTACTGTAAAAATTAAATTTAATTAATGAATAAATAGTAACAAACAAAAATAATAGTCTAACACCATATATAAAAAGAAAAATCGCTCGTTGTGTCCCTGTATTGCAATGGATAGCGCGTTGGACTTCTAATCCAAAGGTCGTGGGTTTGAATCCCACCTGGGATAGCCTGATTTCTGAGAATATAATTTCTTTTTACTGTTCTATTTTATTTCAATAATTAAATTTAATTAAAGAATAAATAGTAACAAACAAAAATACTAATCCAACACCCTATATAGAAAGAAAATTTAAAAATTGTAAAAAAAAAATCGGTTTTTGAGTGATTGAGTAAGTGAATAAAAATATCGCACTGTGTTCAGCTACTCGAGGGCGTTTAGCGATTCACTTCGTAATTTTGAACCACGGTCAAGTAACGAGGACGACACCTGTGAACTGGCAGCCCGCCTCGCATAACTACCACACCGCACCAACAGGAGAACGATTGAGCTCTCGACAGATTTAACGGGCATCGTTTCCCTACATGGCGGATCTTCAATGGTACTGGGATCGAACTTCTGACAAACCAGCCACGAATCCGTTACCTTGGCTACCAGGCTACCGCGGCCACGAAAAACGTTTTCTATTTTCCTACTTAATATCGTGATTCGGTCATATGTATATGCATATTTATATTAACTGTAATTATTTAACAAAATTTTTCTGTGTTAATCTAAGTAGGAATTGACTTAAATGTTTTCTTATATTACTTGTGTGTGTGTGTGTGTGTAGATGAATAATTAAAAAAAAATAATGCATTCCATAACATTTCAAAAGCGAATTGCTAAATAAATTATGCATAGTTATTTGAACTAAGTTGTAAAGTTAATCTTTTAGTCGCCAAATCTGGAAGTGGGATCTGAAATTAGTCGCCAGATGCAGGATGGGATCTGAAATGGGAAATCTTTAAACCTGATGATCCCGATCAGGACAATAGAAGAAATTTTGAAATTATTGTATTTTCATCAGTCTTGGACATGTGAGCAAAATTTCGTATCAATGTGACCTTTTAAAGTGGGGAAAATTGAGTTAAAAGATTCGGTAATATACAAGTGAAGCTTGTAAAAATATGTTAAAAACAAAGAAAGATGAAACTAATTTCTTAAGATATTTTAAGGTTATTTGTAATAGTTATTAAACAGTAAGATAAATAAAAAAGATAAAGTTTGTTTATAATATTCAGATTACTTTTAATGAACACGTAAACATTTAGTTAGTACTTTATCCTTCTTTGAATTAGAGTGAACTCTACAGTATATTTTGTTTTTGTACAATTATTTTTAAAAATGTAAAAAAAAAGAATATTATGTAGATTGAGGTTCAAGGATTTTATGCATATCAGTCGCAAAGAACAAGACAGTTCTTCAGGAGCGATGAGAATTTATTGCCCGAAAACAATCCTTGAAATACAGTATACACAGCGAAATTCGCAGAATAGTTGCCAAAAATGATTAACTAATTTCCAGAAGAATCCATAGAGTCACGAACACTCCAAAAATGGTCGCAAAAAATGATGCCAACTGGGGTCTATCGCCAAGATTTAGCCAAGTTTCCATTGAATCGTCATTATAATGTAAGGAAGGGCGTTGCTTTGCGAATATTACAATTTTAACATAAAATCAATACAACATAGAGTAATATAAACGTATTACACATCCAAAAATAAATTTTTTACACTATTTTAAGTATTCTTTTCACAAAATTTGTCACAATACAAATTTACATATTAAACTTTTTGTTTTCTCTATTAAAATCGACATGATTGAGTCCTTAAAACTTCTGTAAAGTGATTTTTTCTTCATAAAACATCCTCTTTCGGCGTTAAATTTCATTCAAAAAAAGTTTTTAAAAACACAATTTTTCAGTACCGTATAATTCGGCTTATAATGCGCACCCATGCTTTCAAGTTGCATTTTTTGGTTTTTTGGTATATTTGCCGTATAACATGCTCCCCCCCCCCTATCTTACGAAGAAACCTGAAATATATGCGTATAGTGATCTTAGTACACTTCTCAAACTACAAAAAGTTAAGCTCATAAAGAATGTCATTTCATTTATAAATAAATAGTATTTCGCGATATATATAAGTCGAATTTTTTTTCTATAATCATCTGTATTTCTATTTTTAATGCTCTTACCTGGCGTATAATGCATTCGAAGACTTCGAAGATTTTTTTTGTGGTAAAAGTGTGCGTTATACGCCAGATTTAACGGTATATATACTTTTTATTACGATTAAATTTTCATAACGAAAAAAAGATGATTTTTTTGCATTCAAGAGAATTTTCATACAACAAATAACTTTTAAAAAAATTGTTTGTTTAACATATAAAATGGTAAAACAAGCACTACTGAAAAAAATGGATAAAAAACGAATTTATAGAAATTATTCGTGGAATACTAAATTCAATATGGTTGAAGTCGTGCCTTTTTTTTAATGAATAATTTTTTTCCTGCACTAGCAATTATTTTTAATGTTTTCTATTAAAAAAACTAAGAAAACCACACGTAGATCAAAAAACAAATTTTTCAATGAGCCTGTACGTTTATTTTACTAAAATAGTTTTTTTACATTTGTCATTTGTTCCATGATTTGTGCAAGTTTGAAAAATCATAATAGTCTGTAAAATTAAAATTCGTAATCTTTTGTTCGAAATTAAAAATTAAGGTTCGAATCTTAAATTAAAAAGATTTTGTTTAAATAAAGAATCTCTTTAAAATAGTATGCCACTGAATCAAAAGTTTTAATTAAATATTTAATTATAGCGTCTAATATTCTAGAATGATATCAGTTTGAAATATTTTTAATTTGGTAAATCTTGCCACTTCTACATCTTTTTCAGTTTGGCATGTTTTAAAAGACTTGTTAGTATTAAATGTATGACATTTTTTTTATAAAAATTTATTTTCTAATGTCACTTTGTATTACTAATTATAACAAACATAAGTAAATAAGTATTAATATCAAAGAATATTTAAAAAAGTGACATATTTATACATACAATAAGCGATGAACAGAAAAAAAAAGCGGAAGAAATATCTAACAACGTTGTCAGTAAAATAACTGTATTCCCAGAAAAAAATTACACTTTTATTAAATCTCTCTGTATAACTTTAATACAATTATATTTAATTAAAATAAATACTTGTAGATCTTGTGTGTGCGTTGCATTATACTTGAAAATGAAACAACCTTAACTTGTGTTATGAGAAATGTGTCTTCAGAAAATCCAACTAATTTAAATAACCAGCCTTTTCATAATAACTAAAAACAATTCCGAAATAAAATACGAGAATATGATGCAGAATATTTTTACTCTTAATACTCTTATTAATTTTTTAAGAACTGCATGCGTTATGAATTATTATGATTCTACGTAGAACTTTATTTATTACTAAATATTTTAATCTATTCTTATTCTTAATTGGCCATCACGCTTGATATAATTTAAGGTATGTAATTTATTTGGTTAATTTTGATTTATTGGTTTGGTTGATAATAATGTTTGTAGTGCGAAAATTAAACTGAGGAATATAGATTTCTGCAAACTAAATTTTATTCAAGTAGCTATATAATCACTGAAACATGGTGACATCTTATACTTTAGGGGCGGTGGTATCTGTATAAGCTAGCCAGTAACAGCCTCCGGACTAAGGTGATCATTTTATTGTAGTAGATATGTTATGCGCTTACGGATCGGAAGGTACCCAGTTTTAATCTCCTTCATTGGTGACCCTGGCTGAACTTTGAAACAATGCAAAACCACGTGGCGCCATCTATCCACCGCAAGAGCAACCAAAATTCCATCAGAGACGCATGACACAGCATAGTAAGCTGTCAGATCACATGACGCAACACTCAAGCCGCGAAATCCACATGACATAACACTCAAGCCGTCAAAACACACTTGACGCAATAGCAATAACTCACATGCTCGCCATAACTGTATCGTTCGTTCACCTATCCTCCAACTCATTGGCAGGGGAGTGTGGGGCAGTGATATCTATGTGTTCAGTGCGTTGGTTCTTAACTGAGAAAAGGAAAATGAATGAATGTAAAAAAAAATATCAATTTAAAGTTTTGTTTTAAGCTTGGCTAAACACCGACAGAAACTTATTCAATGCTGGTACGTGTTTATGAAGAGCAAGCGCTGTCCATGAAGTATGTGTATGAGTGGTTCGCCTGGTTTTTGAGAAGGCTGGGAAAGTGTTTCAGACAACCTTCGTAGCGAAAGATCGGTGACCTCCATCTATGAAGGAAACAGAGAAAGTGAGTAAATTAATCATGAAAGATCGTCGATTAATGTGCGCATGATAGCTGGACGAGGAATGCTGCAACATACATTGAAAATTAAACCCGTTTCATGAAACGTCTACACAGGGAACGTCGCCAGTACGCATAACGAGGTACACGGTTTTTTGTTCTCGAGAATGCTCGCCCTCACACAGCTAATATCTTCAAACAGTTCCGGGCAAAATAGGGTGTGGTGCAAATTGAACAAATTTTTACAATATTTGATCAATTTTTTGTGGAACATGCTTTTTTACTAGTAACATTGATGTGCACTATTTCATTTATCTTAAAGTTATAATAAGAATTTCATTCAAACAAAAACAAAAAACTAAAAAAAGTAACCTGTAGTATTTTATTAAGAAATCATTTATCTAGATGAATTAAAAAACAAATTATAAATTTTAGAGCAGTTTATGCCATTTGTTAAAGTAGGAATAAGTTTCTTGACTCAATATGTTTAAAAAAATAACTCTTCAGCAAAAGAAGTTTATTGTTAATGTTACGTATAGTTATACCAAAAAAAATTCTGGGAAATTAACAAGACACCATACTTTGTCAAATAATTTTATGGAAACATTGCTTTAAGTTTCTTATAACATTCTTCAGTTGTTCATGCCGTAAACAAACTACTTATTACTAGTAATTATTACTTTCTAAATTGTCCTAGATTGATTTTTCTAGATTGTCCTAGATTGATTTTTCTAAATTGTCCTAGATTGATTTTTCTAAATTGTCCTAGATTGATTTTTTGTAAAAGAAAGGTTCAAGTTTCAAAAGCATTTGTGATAGTTAAATAATAATAAAAATACATATTGTGTTAATTTAAATATAAAA